GTTCGGGTTTTATGCGTTAAAATAAAACCCGACTCCCGAGCACTTTTGAAACCATGGCATAGAAGTCTGAGAACTCATAAAACCCGCGAGCACTTTTGCTTTACAGCATATTTTTGTACAAGCCTAAATGAAAACTAAAACTATATATCAGTAGTATTTACAGTAAGTGTATTATTAACTCATATTAAGTACATTGCTATAGAGTATTGTTTTAACTAGCAAATGTATAAATATTTTTATATTTTTGATTTCGTGTTAATTTGAATGCATGCAGTAATTTGAAATTGACAACTTGTCGTTCAAAATAGTTATTGTTTACAAATTTATATATATTATATATTTTTATTTAATTTTCCCCATGTATAAAAAAGCTACTTAAAATATATCTTTAAACGATTTTGGGCTAGATACCTATACTAGACATCTTCGTAGACTTTTTATTTGGGCGTTGTGAAAACCCGGAATGCCGGAATATCACGGAATATGGCGGAATATCACGGAATATGCCGGAATATCACGGAATATGCCGGAATATTGCGACATTTTCCCGGAATATACCGGAACATCACGATATTTTCCAATGGTAGCCATGGGCATGTACTAAAAGGCGAAACGACGAAACCAAACGACCGAAACGAAACGGCCGAAAATGTAAATTACAGGAAATTGAAAAATGCGGATACGGACGGACGGACGGGGGGGACAGGCGGATGGACGGGGGAAGAGGCGGATGGACGGGGCGGGGACAGATGGATGGACGGGGGAAGAGGGGGATGGACGGGGGGGACAGGCGGATGGACGGGGGGACGGCTTCATTTGACACGAAACTCAATTTTAAAATCAAATCCGTGTTTTGTTGAAAGGGATATATTAGGATATATTATAAAAGACTATTATTAATCGTAATAAATTGTCCGCGAAAAGTTGGTAAAATACATTTGGAAATGCGGGGTTTTTCAAACCTTCGTAACGCTTGATCGGATAAAACGCGGATATGCTGCAACTTTCATGCTTAATTTTCTCAGTCATCTGGTGTGTAGTAATCTAATTTTATGCAATGTAATGTGTTATATTTTCAAGGGCTTTTCAATGCAGTTATCGGTTTAAATATACCTAAAATTCCCGTTAAGAGATATGACAATTGCCGTACGGCCTACTTTTACGCAAACGAAAATTTAATTTAGCTACAATTGCCAAAATTTCATGCTTAATTTTCTCTGTTGTCTGGGTATGTAGTAATCTAATTTTATGCAATGTAATGTGCTGTTTTTTCAAGGACTTTTCAATGCAGTTATCGGTTTAAATATAACTCAAATTCCCATTGAGATATGACAATTGCCGTACGGACTACTTTTACGCAAACGCAAATTACAACTGCAAATTTCATCAGCACATCACATTGGCATAAAATTACATTACTACATGCCCGGATAACAGAGAAAATTAAGCATGAAAGTGGCAATTGTAGCTAATTTTCGTTTGCGTAAAAGTAGGCCGTACGGCAATTGTCATATCTCTTAACGGGAATTTTAGGTATATTTAAACCGATAACTGCATTGAAAAGCCCTTGAAAATATAACACATTACATTGCATAAAATTAGATTACTACATACCCAGATGACTGAGAAAATTAAGCATGAAAGTTGCAGCATATCCGCGTTTTATCCGATCAAGCGTTACGAACGTTTGAAAAACCCCGCATTTCCACATGTATTTTACCAACTTTTCGCCGACAATTTATTACGATTAATAATAGTCTATTATAATATATCCTAATATATCCCTTTCAACAAAACGCGGATTTGATTTTAAAATTGAGTTTCGTGTCAAATGAAGCCGTCTCCCCCCCCCGTCCATCCGCCTGTCGTCCCGTCCATCCGCCTGTCCCCCCCCGTCCATCCCCCTCTTCCCCCGTCCATCCACCTGTCCCCCCCGTCCATCCGCCTCTTCTCCCGTCCATCCGCCTGTCTCCCCCGTCCGTCCGTATCCGCATTTTTCAATTTTCCTGTAATTTACATTTTCGGCCGTTTCGTTTCGGTCGTTTCGTTTCGCCTTTTAGTACATGCCCATGGCTACCATTGGAAAATATCGTGATGTTCCGGTATATTCCGGGAAAATGTCGCAATATTCCGGCATATTCCGTGATATTCCGCCATATTCCGTGATATTCCGCCATATTCCGTGATATTCCGGCATTCCGGGTTTTCACAACGCCCCCTGAACCATGGTTGTTTAACGTATTCTGCAAATAACAGTTGAACATGATTTGAAATGTTATTCTTAAAATCATCATCCAACCTCATAGCTTCAATGCCAAGTGATGTAGCCTCAACTATCTGATCTTGAATTATACTTTAAAGTGAACAAATAAAAAGACAACAACTGATAAGGAATATTCGATCCCTGCTCAAGCAAGCTTTGACTTGCCGATTTTCCGTATTCCGTAGGAAGAATCGCGATAACCGGCGTCTTCACCACGTAGCAAATTAATAATAGACTTTCTCTATTCTGGTTTCAACTGAATTTCGTAGCCTAAATACTTGAAATATAAGAGTTCCCTCGAAACCATTAACAGCTAGGCGACATATTTTCGATACGTGAGCAAAATTATTGTTGACATTTGAGTTACGTAATTACTTCCGTTAACGAGATTGACCAAAAGGAAGCTTTCACGAAGATTCTTCGGAGAAGAACAAATCAATCATAGACATTGGGGCAGGCGTTTATTTAACGACGCCCTCTCTTCTCCCGCCCGCACTAAACGCCTGCTACGCAGGCTATATAATACAACGAAATAGCATTCTACTTCGATATTAATATTTCAATCATAGTGGAGATTATTTTCAATCTACAAATAGTAACTCACCATTTCCACGGGTTTTTATACCGCTAAATTGTAGAGGAAATAATAAAGCTAAATTGTAGAGGAAATATAACAGTCAATCAGTGTTTATATGAGAATTTTTGTTTGATATTTTGAATATATTACATGTTATTTTAATACAAAATGTACTGTAGTATTGACCTTGACCAGTAGTGACCTTGACCTTGTTATTACCGTCGCTTGCAACTAAGGCTATGTTTACATTGTATCGGATCAGTTTTTGTTTCGTTCGCGAAAAGTTACGGCCCAAGTGTAAACAGCTTCCGCCCCGCCCATTTATGCCGTCGTATTTTCTTCTATATATTATTAGAATAGTAAGTTATTGTTTGCCAGATTCCATCTTGAGTCACGCATTGAACCGAAATTGCTTCGATTGGTGTTTACATTACAATGGGAGCGTTGCAAAAACCGATCCGATACACCGCGCACCACTTCGAAGAGCGAACGCCGCACCACCGGTTCGTTGCAGAAATTGAGACGATAACAACATTTCATATGTAAACAGAAGCCCTATCCGGTATGGTTTTTGCGTCGGACGCAAAGTGATCCGATACAATGTAAGTTTACATTGTATCGGATCGGTTTTTGCTTCGTTCACGAAATGTTCCGGCCCAAGCACAGGAGGCCCAGGCTCGATTTGCCCGCGCCTGCCTGTGCCTTCCTTATAACGGGGGAAGGACGGAGACATTGAGATCAAAATAGCCCAGACTTGGCATATGTCACACGAAACTATCCTCGATTTTTCGCTGTTAATTCATTTCTTTCACGATTAATCGATATCCCCTGCAAGAATGATACCGTATAACTCTCAAAACAACGATGCTTTAATCAAAGAGCTTAAATTCGCTCTGAAATCCGTAAGGGAATAACAAAATTCGGCCGAAATATGTCCGCGTGCCGGGTTTGCTGTGCAAAAAGCGGTGATTGGACAACGAATATCAACAAACATTTCAAATTTTTTTAACAAACACAATGTGAAATACAATTTATTATACATATTAACGTACGTACTACAGTTATATTTACATGCAGTAATATTTACACTTTATAACGTTTGTGAATAGCTTTGATTGTATGATTGAAATTATTACAGTACTGTTAAAACAAATTGAAATGTTGATATTCGTTGTCCAATCTGGGTTGAGTGTATTTTGAGTTGTTCAACGGCTTCCGATAGTTCTCTAGACCGGCAAGATTCTGTCTCGCCCGGTCTGAGTGTGACGAGTAACAATTCATTCTTTGGCGATGTAAATGAAGGTGAGCGCTCACTTGATTCACCTCTCCTACCTGGTGAAGATGAAGATCCCGGCACGCGCGCGGATATATTTTGGCCGAATTTTGTTATTCCCTCACGGATTTCAGAGCAAATTTAAGCTCTTTGATTAAAGCATCATTGTTTTGAGAGTTATACGGTATTATTCTTGCAGGGGATATCGATGAATCGTGAAAGAAATGCATTAAAAGCGAAAAATCGAGGATAGTTTCGTGTGACATATGCCAAGTCTGGGCTATTTTGGTCTCAATGTCTCCGTCCTTCCCTCGTTATAAGGAAGGCACAGGCGGTCGCGGGCAAATCGAGCCTGGGCCTCCTGTGGCCCAAGTGTAAACACCTCGCCTTGTTATTAGGGCGCAAGTTTCCCGCCAGTTCGCGGGTCCTCCGTCCTCGTGTTAAATGTGGCGGATCAAACACGACCTCATGTGAGCGAAGGAAACAAGAAACAAAAGACCGATTTTATTTGGACCGATGATGAGATTCAACTACTTTTGGAAGCAGTGCTTTCTTATAAAACAACTTGCGAATATGAAGGTATTTGTTGGGAATCTGTGAAAGCGAAGTATCAAAAGATTATGGAAATTTATGTCGAAAGGTACCCAGGGCCAGACGCAACTGGAGCAAATATTACTGAATTTCCACGAGCTAATACGCCTGAGTTACTAACCAAGGAAAGGATTGCTGCTAAACTAAAAAGAGTAAGGACTGGCTACAAAAAGGCAGTTGATGCAGGCCGTCGCAGTGGGGGAGGAAGAGTTGTTCTAACGTTTTATGATTTGTGCGAAAATGTGTGGGGTGGTTCGCCAGCTGTTGAAAGTATTAGCGGTGGGATCGACACGTCAAGAAAATCACACTTCAGTGACTTCAGATAGTTCTCTAGACCGGCAAGATTGTGTCTCGCCCGGTCCGAGTGTGACGAGTAACAATTCATTCTTTGGCGATGTAAATGAAGGTGAGCGCTCACTTGATTCACCTCTCCTACCTGGTGAAGATGAAGATGAAGAAAGTGATTTAAACCAACCACTGGCTGCACCGTGTAGTTCTAAAGATAGACGAGCAAAGATTTCAAAGTTGTTAACAGACAGAAGGATGCTAAAATGAGTAAAAAACTGAACTGTGAAACACAAATGTTAAATTGCACCAAGGACGACCTACAACTTAAGCGGAAAATTTCAGATGGCATGGATAAATCTGATGCTGAGCGGTCAGAAACAATGAATAAAGTACATAAAACTATGGAATCTATTGGAGATAGTATCAAGCAAGGTTTTACATTGATGGCAGACATCTTAAAGCAAACCCAAGCTCCTGTCACCGACTCCTTCCCTTCTCTATAGTGTATATGCTAACTATCATTTTCCAGCTTCACAAGCCACTCAAAATTTGCCAAATAATTATTTTGGACAACCCAGACAGGTAGCCCAGCAATATTCCCAGTCCCAGCAATATTCCCAGCCCCAGCAATATTTGGCCCAGCCCCAAAATATTCCCTTTTCTAACATAAGCAATGATGAGACTCCTCAGTCATGATATTTTAGCCATTTCAAACGTTCTGTCTTATGTTGGTATAAGTTAGTATGAAACTGACGCTTTATGTTAGTATATAAAGTTCTAAAACATTTCTGTCTTATAAGCAAGTCATGCTTGCCCAGGCTGCAGAGTATGGCAGTGGTGCACCCAAGATAAATTTATGCTATAACAATTGCGCACTTGCCATGCCCTTTCCGATTACATATTAAACTATTTTAACATAAAATGCACTGTGCAGCAATGCAGAAACTCGAGGAACAACGTTAGTTCTAAGTTTGAAATGTATGTATTATAATATGACAAATTGAGCATTTTTGCATATTTTAGGACAAGTTGTTTGTGATTTTACTCTGAGTGTGCATCCACACGGGGCAAGCTGAAAAGTTTGCCTGACCATGGTGGGAATCAAACCCGCAACCTTTTGGATACTAGTCCAATGCTCTACCAACTGAGCTATGAGGTAACAAACACACACACATAAATTACCATATCTTATGATACATTGATATCGAAGGAACTAGACTCTGTTCCAAAATATCACCAACTCAAACCGACTTGACCTTGTAGCTCAGTTGGTAGAGCATAGGACTAGTATGCCAAAGGTGCATAGGACTAGTATGCCAAAGGTTGCGTTGTGCCTGACCACAGTATGCCACCGTGGTCAGGCAAACGTTTTAGCTTGCCCGGTGTGGATGCACACTCAGAGTAATATCACAAACATCATATTCACCTGAGTAGATAACACCAACACACACAGAAACATTAGAATAAGTTGTTACATATAATACTTGCTAAACATGTAGTCCTAACATAGTGCCACTGAGCTAAATATATTCAAATATAACTCCAGTGTATAGGCAGCGTATCGTGTTTAATTAATGCATTTTTTAATTATGACTACATACTAAGACGCACAGGTATTGATAAATACACATGTGAACTAGGTGCCCCTCAACCCTTTCAACTTTTTCATGGAGCACTTGAGCAGGTGCACCTGAGAATTTTTAGGCAGTTTTGTGCACTAGCACTTCGGGTGCGCCCTGGTTGCACACCAAGATCTTGTTGAAAACTGCCCTACTCTGTAGTCTGGATGCTTGCAAGAGTATTGTTTATTTTATGTTACTATGGGACAGCTGTATTGACTGTATTAAAGTTGTGTTGCTTTTCATAGTTGTGATTGTTTATATTTGGTTTAAGGAACCTACAAATTATCAGCTGCATTGTTCATAAAAATTTTAGGACTCACACCAGTAATTCCAAAGATAAAAATAATAAGTAGTAACTATGAAATATTATAATAATAATTATTTATATTTATATATATATATATATATATATATATATATATATATATATATATATATATATATATATATATATATATATATATATATATATATATATATATAAAAGACAAACTTGAGTTACTTCGTTTAAAACATTTATTCACGACAAATTTGTTTCGTATGGCAAGCTAGGCTTGCCACACTCATCAGGTGAATGGTGATATCGCGTATTTACATGATGTTATAACCTATAGGTAACTTGAGCTGTTATATACAAATGTTTGACGTCATTAGGAAAGCGTAAATATATGTTTGTAATCTGACAAACATATATTTACGCATATTTTACATATATTTATGCATATTTTTACATATATTTAAGTCAGATTACAAACATATATTTACGCTTTCCTAATGACGTCAAACATTTGTATATAACAGCTCAAGTTACCTATAGGTTATAACATCATGTAAATACGCGATATCACCATTCACCTGATGAGTGTGGCAAGCCTAGCTTGCCATACGAAACAAATTTGTTGTGAATAAATGTTTTAAACGAAGTAACTCAAGCTTGTCTTTTATTTGCTCTACTTTTGTATCGAGCACTCTATTCTTATGATTCGACACTCAATATACTTATTGACATTCGCCTATATATTTATATATATACTCAGCTTTGATGTTATTCATGTTTCCTGCCATAAAGTAAAGCACCAAATAAAAACTTATGTCAGATTGAAGTGGGTCTTATACAACAAATATAGAGCAGGAAATCAGCCTGAAGTGGTTCTTGTATTTTGGGTGCTTAATTGCCCAAATTTCAGGTTCAACTTGGTGGTTCTTGAATGCACAAGTTCAGCCTTTTCAATAATGGTTTTTAAGGCACATTACAACCCTTCTAATTGAGAAACTAACTAAGAAAATCAATTATAAAGCTTTTCACTGCTTTTTAATTATGCTGAATTGATTTTCCTAGTTAGCTGATCAGTTAAAAGGGTTGTAATACTAGGAATGTTCGGTATGAGAAATTTCCGGTATCGGTATACCGAAAAAATTATCCCGATATTATCGGTATACCGGTTTTCCTTTGATAATCATGAAGGAAAATTCTTTAATGGAAATTTTGAGTAATTCTAAAAAGGAAAACGATAATTTCGAACATGTTTAGAACGACACATACTCAGTGTAAAATCTCACTGAAGTGGAAATCCTAAATCATTGCAGTACGTAGAAAGTTCTTTGAATTGCCATTCAGTATTAAAATAAAGGTTATGGTTTTGCCATGTAGTTGGTAAATTTAACACGGTATACCGAAAAATTCCGGTATGTCGGAAATTTTGGTATATCGGTATGGTTGAATATCTGGTATCGATATACCGATATTGATTTAATACCGATATTTTTGGTATACTGAACAGTCCTATGTAATATACCATGCACTGTTCTTTATGTAGGGCTTTTCTGCATATACATATACAAATGTATGATGAAAATTTTAAATCTTATTTACATCCAGTCATATCCTGTTAAGTTTAAATGTAACTTGAACTATAATCTCAACCCTGATGTTGTGTGGAAAAACCCAATCAATTGAAACTCGCTAGCTATGATAATATATACAATATAATTCATGCATGGAAGCAAGAACTCAAGCAGTGAGGAATAAAATCCTCTTGTGACAATTAGAAACATCCAAGTAAAACACCATTCTTAACACCTGTAACTGTACGGAACAGTGTATTTAGCAATATGAGTGATTGAGCGTAAATGTAAGCACAACATACAATATATAGAGTACCATATTTTCTACTTATTCAAAGTATTTGACATAAATTCTCTTTCCAGCGGTTTCATTGGTGGGCAGATTTGGACCAGGTTGCCTTTGCCTTTGGAACTCAACATCATACTGCACTGCTTGTTCAACCATCTGTTGACTTACAATTTCATTATTCATTTCACAGAAATTATGTAAAATGAAACAGGTGTGAATTACAGCAGTGAGGTCATCAATATTAATGTCCATCTCTCTTCTCAGGCAACTAAAGCGAGCTTTCAATCTCCCAAAGGCACACTCTATGACCATCCTAGCAGAAGAAAGTCTGTATCCAAAAAATTGTTCCTGAGCATCTTTCCCCCCTTCAGCTAACTCTTTCATTAGAAAAGGCAAGAGGGGGTAGGCAGGGTCGCCTAATATACAGATGGGCACAGGATCTTCATTCTCAACAACTACTCTGGGACAAGAGGAAATTGTGCCATCTCGCAGTTTTTGGTTTAGGCTTAAGTTTGCAAATCTTCGAGCATCATGAACGCTCCCCGGCCATTTAATCACTACATCGAGAAAACAGTATTTATAGTCGGCACATGCTTGGACATTGATCGAGTGTCTACCTTTTCTGTTTATAAAATCAGTTGAATTTTCTTGTGGTCTTTTAATTGGAACGTGAGTACCATCAGCAGCGCCGAGGCATTGTGGAAATCCATGTATCTTGTAAAACTCTGTCACAAGAAATTTTACTGCATCTTCTGTTTCTGGTAGTTTAATATAACTTCTTCCCATAACATAACTGATTATTTGTGTGACACGCCTAATTACAACTGAGGCAGTACATCTTGCAATCCCAAAGGCATTTGCAACCTTTTGCAATCGTCCTTCGTCAGCAACATAGTAAAGTGTGATTGCAACTTGTGTCTCTACAGATAAAGGTTTTCTATAT